ACTCAATAAAAAGAATCTTCGAAGGCATAAGTAATTAACACTTGCAAATATAAACTCTCAACGTATTGTATTCAAAAAAATATGTATTTAAAATGGTGGGAGGAGCCTCTTTATATAGAGTGAAAGAATAATTGTTTAATACTTGAAAATAATAATAAAATAACAATAACAATATTATCCTAATCCCTAAAAGTAATAAACTAAAGATAACTGATTCAACTTTATCTTAATTCCTAATAAAATAATAAATTTAATCATAAATGATAATCCTCCTATATTAAGTTATATTACAAATAATCAATAAAAATATTAAAAATTCATAATATTTATAAATTCTCGTATTAATCTAGTATAAAAATTTCGATATTAACTATCTTCACTAAAATGAGCGTATCTTGAGTTTTCGATATCTGATTGATGTGATTCAAAAACCGTTGAAAAGCTAATAGACAACCAGTCGTAATTCTAGAAGATATGTCGACCAAATAACATCATGATCTCATTCAAAAAACAGTCGCAAGTATGTTGCTCAGCTGTTCTTATTTTCCAAGGCTTGGTCGTGAGATCAATTGAAAGCGTTAGTCCATCTTCCTTTAATGTGAGCCTTATGATACATGTATCATATGCTAAAAGATTCAACTTGTAATTTTGCAAGTTTAACTATTCTGATAACTGATTTTATTACAATTTTTTTTATTTGGAACAATATTTCCACTTTGGTTGTTCAAGTTGAGATTCATTTACTTCATTCGATATATTAGAAAGTTTTCGATCCCAAAAGTTGGTTACTTGGCAACTTTTTTCTATAGTTAGTGAATGTAAGATGATATATGTTTAGAAATTTCCTTAATCATTGATAACATATACATACTATATAAATTCAGTTACACGAATCTAATTTTTTTAGAGAAAATAACATTCTTTTATTACTGATATTATTCAATAAATTTATTAAATGACAACTTATGCATTTAACCACTTGTTATTAACCTGACACAATCGATAAATTAATGCCACATAAACAATGAAGTATATATATCACCGCAAAGGGTGTCGCGTCAAGTAAAATTTTAACTATCTAATTATCATTTACATTAAAGTTTCTTTGATGGAGTGTCGTGGGATTACTTCCCATTACAGACGCGTATATGATGACTGCATATGAAGACTGTTCAACTATGTATTTATTTTATTTATACATGCATTGAATTTTATCTATATTTTTAATTTTCTGACTGCAGGAGGTCTTCCACGGAAGCTACTCTCAATCTGGCGTTGGGGGCAGCCTACTATCCTACCTCCCTCTTACCCCATTACATATGGGAATAGGATTTTGTTGTTGTTATTTCTTTGATCAAAAAATAAAGATTAATTAATAGATTTAATTAAAAAATCAGAGTTAAAGTTATAAATATATAGACTTTAAAGATTAAATTTATTATTATAGTATTTTAAAAATAAATAAAATAACTAAACTAATCATTACAATGCATACTTTGAAGTAAATGGCCATAATGCATTTGAACAAGAAACATGCAAGATGGAACTCAACCCAAAAATAGAATCTACGAGTTAACTCAAACATGATTTGCATTATAATGAATAAAGATCGTCTTATTTTATTTATTTATTATAACTTATTATTATGTCTAAGGAAATTATCACTTTCGCAACTAATAGGATGCTTTTATTGGCCTAACTTTATTAATTTAATCATTTTATTCTTTAAAACTTTTACTTTTTTTTAAAAAATTAATGCTTACTTTTTAAAAAAAAATTAATGCAAACATGACGAAACAAACGTTAATTTGATGTTAACTATTTTGAAATTTATTGTTGCATCATAAAAAAATAGTTACTTATCCTTATTGAAAATCGACATCAGCTGTATTTAAAAAATAAAAAATATGATATAACATAAAAGGTTCAAGTAAATGACATCAAAATTTCATAAGAATAAAATAATTTATATTAATTTAATGATTTATTATTATTCCGTCGCATTTAATAAAAAATAAAATATTAATAATAAAAAAGCAAAAATAGTAAGAATTTAAATAATTAAACTAGTAAAATTAAAGGTCAAGATTATTATTATTCTTATAATTTTATTTTTAAAAGAAAAAATAAGTTCTAGGATATCACTTTCATAAAATTACGAATCAATCACAAAACTGATGGTAAGCCAAAAAAAAAAAAAAAAGCTTAGGACCTATCTGTGTTTTAGAGAAATTGGAAGTTAGTGATGGTGCGCATCGTAATGATAAGTATGACGAAATGGAGCGTAGTAGGACAAATATTCCTTGGGCTTTTCCAATCACTATATGCACCTCTCTTACCCTACTTCTTTTTAAACTTTGCAATTAGATTGGTTATACGATAATTTAATTTAAGATTAATTTAAGATGATTTTAATTTTCTGTTTAAATAAAATTTATATAAATTTATGATATTTTTTTGTTGTAACCGAAATGTTATATTGTGAGGGATTTAGAAGCTTACACCAAAAAATATTATGAAAAAAAGTAAAATTTTCAGTTTTAATCAAAAATATTATAGAGAAGGTAAAATTTTCGTTTGAGAAAAATGAGTACATGCCTTTTGATGCTTAATATACTTGTATGGTTAAATTCTCAATGTTAGAATATTATCATATGCCTTTTGATGTCATATGAATATTAATAATTGTGTCATGCTTGTGGTACATTAAAGGGCATGCTAGGCTATTTTGGTTCAAGTATGACATTTGGTATATTATAAGGATGCATGTTACATTACTTTTAGGGTCAATACTTGTTTGATAAATTAGATAAAGCTAAGGATGACTCACTTAAACCCCTGTTAGTAATTGGAACTTGCATAAGGTTACATAAAGGAACTTAGGTGTCTATGTCCCGACTTCTTATTGAATTACATTATTCCTCGAGTGATTAGGTAAATTTGTAGAAAAGAAGTATGCTTAAAGACTCTTAAAGTTAATAGAAATATGTCTGATTAAAGTATTTCAATATCAAAGTATCAATACCCTACTTAAGGGTACTGATACTATACCAAATGTGTAAAACCAATACTTTTCAGTGAGCTATTCAAATATCAATGCTTACTTAAAGTACGATACTTGTGTTATAGTACAATATCTAGTGAATAGAAATGATGTGTCGAACCTTTCTTTGGCATCAATATCCTCGGTGAGTAGTGATGCCAACCCTAGGCATCAATATCCATCTCAACTATGATCTTCTTAAGATTTACTCTTCCAGCACACTTTAGTGCATTGTGGAGTGCCCAAAGTTATGCCAGAATTACCGAAAAAACTCCGATGGTTTTATGTGCTACAACCTACGGGTCAAGGCTCAGTCTCAAGTAGAAAGTTTCTAGGGGGCATCTTGCCCTTTTTCGCTCGTGCGATATGGTTAGATTAAACTTTCTTCCCTTTTATCAGTCCTGATCGATCCCAAATTAAGTTGGAGTCTGACTTAAAAATTTGGGTAAACTATGCATTTGGTACCTAAACTATCAGTTTTTGTCTATTTTAAAATCTAGATGTTCAATTTTTCAAAATCATATCTAATGTTTAGTTTTCATTTCATTTTAGTACCCGACGTTACAAACTTAACATATTTAGTACATAAACTATACATTTTAGTCCGTTTTAGTATATAAACTTTCTATTTTTTCAAAACTTGTCGTTAAAGTTTTACAGAGTACTAAAATAAAACAAAAACTAAAATTTTTAACAACGAGGTACTAAAATGAAATAAAAACTAAACTTTAGATATGATTTTACAAAAAATAAAATTTAAGTTGTAAAATAAACTAAAATTGATATTTTAGGTACTAAACGTGTAATTTACCCTATAAATTTGGTATATCCTGTGTTTTGCGTTATCTTTGTCTTGAGTGGGAAAAATATTACCAAAGTGAAAACGATGTTCTCTACCTTTCCTGTCATCAATTCAGAAAAGACTATCAAACACATGCAAAGCATATTTACTAAGAGATGATGGGTTATATTTAAAAAAAATAGAGATGATAGGTTGAAAAAGGAAAAGGTAAAGAGACTGATAAAGAAAAAGTATAGAGAAAAGGGAAAGAATTTGAATATCCCAAATGAATTTATAAACACCTTTTTTAAAAATCAATTTCAACATTGCAGTAATTCAGCTCTCTTAATGTCCAAAGAACAATTATTATCTTTTCAAAAGATTTAATGACGTATGCATTATTGAATGCTATATATATATATATATATATATATATATATAGGATTATGATTTACTTATCTAATGTAAAACTCTTTGGTTTTACACATTTTGGACTGTTGGATGAGTGAAAATAGATGATTGATATTGATTATTTTTCCCCAGTAAATATCTTCGCATTTCCTACTTTTAATTTCAACCATCTATTTTCATTCATCTTATGATGTTAAATCTGTGTACAACTAAAAAAATTTATATTGTGTAACTGGATTATAACCCTATATATATTATTTAATAGTCTGAGTATTATAAGATGACATTTGTTCATAGTTTTTTTTATTTATTGATAATATATACATATGACAAACGCAAATGCTCTAAGCCTCTAACACATGACCTCAAGCGAGAACAACATTTTCTTTAACTACTAAGACCACTCAATAAATTCATTTAAGATATATATTTTTAATTAGTCTAAGATGTTTATAATATATTATTTATTCATAAGTATTCTCAATCTAATGGCAACGTACACACATCCTACACTTAAACCACACATTGGTTGAGGAATCTAAAATATTATTTTAGCTTAATTATCAACTTTGTATAATCCACACAAACCGCCCTTCTAGACTCTCCATCCATTAAAATCTTGACCCATCTTTGTGTATCAAATGCAACCTAAGAGTGCATGCAAATAGATAAATGTGAACCCCACAATACTCAATTTCTTATTGGGTACTGATAACCCTCACTCACCTTTTGTATCTTATTTATAGTATTTTAATAACCTTCTCCTCCTACAAGCACCATTAATTGTCCATGCTTTTAAACTCTTCAAACCATTACTGAATCTTAGGTTTGTATTTCAGTAATCATATCTCATTACCTCTCTTCATCCACAAAAAAAGGTTCAAGCACTTCCTTCTAAATGAGTCTTTCTTTATCTCCTCCATAAACAAGTAAAAAATGCAAGTTTCTGATCATTTGCTAAGGTTTTCCACCATTACTGCAACATCATATCTTTTTATTGCACCACTTGTTTCTTGCTCATCTCATGGAGAGGTTATCAGCAATCACACCAGCACTAACGAAAATGGGCACAAGGTAATTCAACATGAAAACTGAACATGCATGCAATGTTTATTTGTCTGTTGTTACTACTGGGATTGTTACTACTGGGATAATGGCGGATCCAGAAATTTAAGAACGAGGGTTCAAAATTTTAATATTATTTTCTTACAAATATTGCAGATGAGTGAACAAATGACATCTTATATCGCTGTTCATGGCCTTATCCTATGGGTTTCCATGGGGTTCTTAATGCCACTCGGTATACTTACCATTAGAATGGCCAATAAATTAGAGGAAGGTGGAACAAGGGTTAAAGTTTTATTCTATCTCCATGCCATATTGCAGGTAATAATCTCTATCTTATTCCTTGTGCAAATGTTATGAGTTAATATTTGTGAATTTGCTCACAGTGTGTACTTTAATTATATATTATTAATGGGTATTTTTTTATACTATTAGAAATGGGAGATTATGTACTTCATTTCCTCCCATATAATTACATTCTCATATGTTAATGTTTTGTTTTGCCAATTGTCTGCATATTTTGCAGACAGTTGCAGTGCTTCTTGCAACAGTGGGGGCTGTAGTGTCCATAAAGAACTTCGAGAACTCATTCAATAACAACCACCAAAGATTAGGCCTTGCCCTTTATGGTGCCATATTGATGCAAGCTTTGGTTGGGTTTTTCAGGCCCCCTAGGTAACCATCAATTCAATTTTCCTTGACTAACCTAAGCGGTAAAGGATGATGTTCTCCCTATAAGATTCGCTCTAAAAGAAATTCTAAACAAATATGTATACAGTTCAAAAAAATGAATAAATAGAACATTTACTTTTTTGGTTCAAATTTTCTTTCCCTTTTCATGCAGAGGAAGTAAGAGAAGAAGTACGTGGTACTTAACACATTGGATTCTTGGGACAGCAACATCCATGGTGGGGATCATTAACATCTACACCGGTTTAGAAGCCTACCATAAGAAGACATCGAAAAGCAGTGGCATTTGGACCATACTTTTCACAGCACAAGTCTCCTTCATCGCTTTCTTTTACCTCTTCCAAGACAAATGGGAGCATATACAAAAGCAATTACCCAACTCACAGGCTTCTTCTCAGCAGCGAACCCTACCCTCTGGTCACCAAGAGAATGCAGTGATTGTGGTGACTCAAAGGGTTAACCAAAAGGTGTTGATGCCTGAACCATGCGCCAAAAGTAATGCACTTAGGAATTTGTTCGACTAACTTCGGATTCATTTTAAGGTTTTTATCTGAGTTGGGAGTCAATATGTTTTCATATTCTATTTTTTGATGCCTTTGATGCATATAGTAAAGCAAAAGCAAATACACCCAGTCCTCGGTGAATGGTTCAAAAAGTGGAGTATGATCATCATTTTTATGTCATGAATACTTATTTGTTTGTGATGAAAATTTGGATTTTGGGGTTGGGGTCTATAGGATAAAAGGAAAAAAATGGTATTGTGATTATGTTTGATAAATGTTAGTGGATGTGTTAATTCACTTAACGGGTGTTACTGTCTTTTTTTTTTAAAAAAAATCTTCTAAAACTGATGTTAAATATTGTGATTCTAATTTTATTTAATTTATTTTTAAAAATTTCTAATAAGGTTGTTTGGTAGAAAATATTTTAAAAAATAAAAATTTATGCGGATAATGATGCTTAAATTTATATCTTTCTTGTACAATTTGGACCATAATAATTTTCCTCTCGTGTAAATTTTTTTCATGTCAAGTTTTATATAAAATTTATATATTTATTTGTCAGTTTCTTATTTAAATTTTATAAAGGTTATTTAATTGAGGAATTCAAATTTTTTTTTGTCTTAAAGAAAGCTGAAGGATAATGATGCAGTTAAATAATAATAAAGATTAAAAAGAGGAAGCAACTACTGGCACCGGGTAAAGTTCTAAACATCATGATGTTTAAATTGTATATTGTGCCACTTTTATTTTTAAATTGTGTATTGTGAATAACTACTTCCTTCAAGAGCAAAAATAAAGTGGAGATAACTACTATTGTTTAGAACTTTACCCGGTGCCAGTAGTTGCTTTCACTTACTGGCACTGAAAAATTAATTGATGTTTATTATATGTTAAATTGTCTCCTGGATCCCACAAATGAATTGGAGAGTTAGACTGACTCTCAGTAATTAAAGGAAATGAAACAATGAAGTCAATAGCTAGTTTGCAAGCAATTCACAGAGGGAGTAGATGATTGAAGCACAAAGTAACCCTGGAAATCACAAGACTCCAAAGATACTAATAATTATCATTTAGTTTGATTTCGGACATATTATCAGCTAATTTAGAACATTTCTCAGACCCATTAATCCCACATTAATCTGAACCTTGACTAGTATTATCTTTATCATGCTGAATATTAAAGAAACTAGTATGAAGTGGAGATTCACAACGCTGCTAGGAGAGTGCAGTTCGTATTAGAAGCCAATGTACTGTTAAAGTTCCTTAGAGGTGATCTTTTGTAGACATAATTTTCCATTTTCACCCTGAAACAATGCCTTCCCATGAGATGGGACAATTCTCAACCCAGCAGCCATAATAGGTATCTAATCTTGAGACAAGAATTGGCTGATATTTTCCTCCTGCCTGCATAATCTGGAGCTTTTTCCATTGTTTTCTTCTCAATTATTCAATGAAAACACCATAGGCTATGAAAATAAGGCTCTTTGCTTTTCTATTCCTTCAGTAGGAAGGCCATAAAGAGGCATCAAAGCATGATTCCATGACCCAATGGATACGGCGCTGGCCTACGAAACCAGAGATTCTGGGTTCAATCCCCAGTGGAGTCGTTCATCTTCAGCTTTTGTTTTTTCATTTGCGACTTGAATGTTATTGAAACACTCGTGTACCAAATCAGACTAATACCAAGCAAATAGGTTTTTTTTTTGGATTCCGAATTCTATTCTAGAATTTCAGTTAAAATTATTATTACAACACCAAAACGTAAGAAATTTATCATAAAAAAGTCGAAAGAATTCGAACTTGGACAAGGGATAAACAGCTCATTATCTGTCCATCTTTCCTAACAAATGCAGAACCAAGTGACGCAGACTTTCATGGTTTGAAGGCCGAAAACGCCACCACAGAGTTGTGTCCACCAAATCCGAAAGAATTCGAAATTGCTGAGAATCAATTAACGAACTTGGTAAGAATTATGGGGTTCTGGTCCAAATCAAACTGAAATTAAAGGCTTGAAGAAACTTAAACAGGAACTTGTCATGTAGTCTTGAAAGGATCATTCAGGGGGCTTACCAACATTAACCTCGTGCTGCTGCTTTTCGTTGGCAACGGTGTCAAACTCAACTGAAGGCTCTGGATTCTACATTAAAAATTTAGCACTTCAAGCATTAATGAAATACATACAATAAAAAAGGTGCATTAAACAAACAAGGAGAACGTACAAATTGATTTATCGAGGGATGCAGCCATCCTGTCGTGATGGCCTTCACAGTGGCAATGGCTTCTAAACCACCTGCTGCACCCAGACAATGCCCTATCATAGACTGAAACAAGAAAAACAATTAGCCAAATTGCAAGGGATCAACATTAGAGTACAATCCTCTCAAATTTTGCAAAATGAGGGGGAGGAAAAGAAATTACCTTTGTTGCATTGATTTTGATGTCAGATGTATTCTTGAATACCTTTTTAATAGCATTTATCTCGGCTAGGTCACCAGCAAGAGTTGAAGTTGCGTGTGCATTGATGTAATTAACCTGTAAAAAAGGACTTGCTTAGTTTGCATATTTTAATATTTGAAATTATGCACACTTTTCAGAAAATAACTACATTTGAAACATTATTATTACCTCCTCAGGGGACACACCGGCATCTTCAAGACTTCTCTCAATGCATGAAGACACCCCAAAACCGTCAGCTCTTGGATCTGTCATATGATGAGCATCACAATTAACAGCTCCACCCAAGTACTCAGCAATAATCGGTGCACCTCGCTTCATTGCATGTTCCAAGCTTTCCATTACCTGGAAAGCATAAGAAAAAATAACTCATTATAAAGGATATTGCATTTCCACTCTCATCAAGATCAGTTGATGGAATATAACTCTAAAAAAAAAGCTCTGTAACAATTGAACCAAATATCAGTGTGCAAAAGCAAAGAGCCATTACCACAAGATTATGTCTAATTAAGTAGTTCAATGTGATGAAAGACAGAAAAAATGCAAGAATAACAGGAAATCATTTCCCCAGTTAAAATTTATACTTCATTACTACTGAACAGCAAACTAATGACCAAGAAAGTCATCGTAAATAGTGAATTAGGCTCATCAGCTACAAACAACACACTACAACAGCAAATTATCATAAAGGAAATGGTCAGTATGTCATTGAGCACACAAACACCTGAGAGCCAGGCTCCGTCAAAGATAATGCCAACTTCTCTTAATAACAGTATCACATATCACCAATTGAGGCAAACCAAGATGATAAATTGGTAACCAGAAATAGACAACAAAACAACCAACAAAAAGATAAATCATGCACATATAGGATTCAAATGTAATGTTAATACATGCATGCTTACCAATACTCCAGCACCTTCACCCATAACAAAGCCATCTCGATCTTTGTCCCATGGCCTTGACGCAGTTCTAGGATCATCATTTCTTTGAGACAATGCCCTGCAGGCAACAAAACCTCCAAGACCAATAGGAATAATTGCAGCCTCAGTTCCACCAGCAATCATCAATTCAGCCTCCCCTCGACGGATGTGGTTAGCAGCAGCATAAAAGCAGTAATTGGAGGTAGCACAAGCAGTTGAAATTGAATAATTCGGACCCATGAAACCAAGCTCAATTCCAAGCAAGGCAGATGCCATGTTTGTTATAGAATAAGGAATGAAGAATGGTGTTATTTTTCTATAACCTTTCTCTATCAGATTTTGAACTCCATCAGAGAACACTGTAAGACCACCCATACCAGTTCCAACAAGCACTCCAGTTCGCTCCGTATCGATCTACGACAAATACACATTCTTGAGCACCAAGGGAGAATATATGACATATATAAGATTAAAAGAGGTAGAATAACGAATATGATATCCTCTGCTACTCGCATATCTCAAAGAATAGATACCTGTTTCCACTCTCAAGATATCTATTGCTCTTGCATCTTTCAGTCTATAAGGTAACAAATCATCCAAAGGGATCATAAGCTTAAGCAGTAATTTTGACATTCTATACACCTTTTCCAAGGCATATTTCTGGTGGATGCAGCATTAGTAGTCTTACCAATAATTGCTTTCAAATATGATCATATTAACATTGTTGAAATTGTTTCAATGAAGATGCTCTAAATCAAATGTAAAGGATAACTCGATTTTCCAAAATGTACAGATTCTCTATATGAAAGCTGCATCTAATTAGGGACAAAAAGGCTATGAGCTTGAATGAAATATAGACATCAAAAGACAATCTCAACATAAAAATTGAACAAAATAATTCTTATGAGCCCATGACTTAAATCACATTATGAATTAGATATATTGAGTCAAACTATATAAAAAAACAAAGATTGCCAGCAACTGATAAGGAAAAGGAAGAAAATGACCAGAATACACACACACAAAGCGATCAAGTTGCTTAACAAAATAATGACAAAAGTTGCAGCAAGCAAACACGCAGTAACGAGCAGAGAAAAGCATCAAGATTTGTAAATGTGGCACGTTGTGCAAGCCAATAAAAGGATTATCTATGGATCTAAAAGTAAAAAGGGGGGGGGGGAAGCAAATCACTATGCAATCAAGGACAACCCTCTTAAAACAAGCCGATTAAAAAAAAACTCAGTAACCAAAAACCACTAAAGAAGAAGAAAAAGGAACTAACTTTAGACAAGTTATCGACCCCAAGATCAGCATCTTTCAAAGCCTTCTTGCCAGCAACAATACAGTACCTCAAACAATCGTCAAGCCTCCTATCGTTCTTTCCATCAATGTAACCTTCAGAACTGAACCCCCGGATCTGACCGGCGAACCGAGTGGGGAACTTGGAAGCATCGAAACGATCGATGAGTCCGATCCCGCTCTCTCCAGCCAGCAGCTTATCATAGTAAGCATCCACATCGTTCCCGAAAACGGAAACCAACCCCATGCCCGTAATAACTACCCGTTTCTTGGGGTCCTTCTCGCGCTTGGGAGCAGAAAGGGTGGGCGATGAAGCGGTGATGGGAGAGAATTTCTTGGTCGGCCTGGGAGGGAGTCTTGATACATGGGGGAAATGGGATTTGGGTTTGGGGTTTTGGAGAGGGTTTAGAGAGGAAGCTCGAAGAGATGAAGATTGAAGGACTTGCATGGTCGATTGAAGTGAAGGCGGCGACGGCGATAATAACAAAGCGAAGACTGAAGAGACTAAAAAAGGACGTCTATATGTATAGCTATATATATGGGCTACTGAATCTTAAATTCTTGGAGTTGGAGGGGGCGTTGAGCTGCACTTAACATCCAGCTACGCTGAGTTTGCTTAACATGGGATTCATATTCTTCGTTGGATGGACTAATGGTGGATCTATTCTTTTTCTTTTTTGACAATTTGAAAAATGGCATGATGATAAATCTAACAGCTAGGGCAGTAAATCAGCCGAGTCGAGCGCGTGTATAGCAGAGCTCGACTCGAATTTGAAAAGTTTAAAATTAAGTTCGATCTGACTCGAAAATTCGCAAGTTAAAAATTATCAAACTCAGCTCAAATTCAAAATATAATATTGAAACTCGACTCGAACTTGAAAAGGTTCGAACTAAAAAAATATTCAGGAGCTCAAATTGAAGCTAGATTTTGAGCTCGATTCAAGCTCGAACTCAAACTCGAATTTGAACATACAAAAATCTAATATTACTTTTAAAATATATTTTTAAAAATTTATAATTATCAATAATGTATTTTTATTATATTTTTAATAATGTAATTTTAAAAAATCTAAAATTATAATATAACATTTTTTTAGTAGCTCGAGAGTTTTTCGAGTCGAGTATTAAGAAGCTCGTTAAGAATTTGAGTCGAGTTCGAGCTCGATTCGAGTGTGGATCGAACTTTGACCGAGTCAATGTCAAGTAGCTCCCGATCTATCTCATTTCATTTACAGCCCTACTAACATCCCTCAATTTTAACCTTCTTTTTAATTTAATCTTTATATTTTGAGTTAAATTTAACCATCAATATTTCTTTTTCCATTTTGAAAAGTTGTGTATTTAGATACTATCCCTCCATCTAATTTCTAGAAAACCGTATATATGAGCTTCACAAGAAGCATAACACTTCTAATTTAACTCCAAGATTCGAATGGATCGAGGATATCACATTTGGTAAATAAGAGAGATTATTAAGTGAATCATAAGTATTTAAAACTAAATCGAATTTATTTATACAAGTCGGGGTTTCATTCATGCAAAAATGAGATTAAAACTTTTCACTGATTGATCGAGTGGACAACAATATTCAGGTTGTCTCACCTTACGTAATTGACATAAATTTCCAGAATTAACCGTCCCATTTAATATTAACAGATATGAATTAATCATGTTTCAAATTTAATCTAAATCACAATTCAATCAAGCACTCAATTGCACAAATAATCATTTATGGACTAAATTCTAGACCGTTCAAACCATGGGATTCATCTAAAAATATAGAATTGAAGAGTTCATTAGGAAATTAGTGTTATTAAATAGTGGCAAAACAAGATTCATGCAAATCCTACTTTAAACCAGTGTTTCATGAAGAAATCACATTCTAAACCATTTTGAACTCAATTCAAAGTTTAGTGACCAACCTAGGGTCTAAGCCAAATTATTGATCTTTAATTAATGCAACTTAGGGTCCGTTTGTTTCACTGAAAACAGTTTCTGGAAAAAGAATTACATTTCCAGAAATCATTTTCCAAAAAACATTTTACATTTTTTGGATGCTGCATTGTAAAATGTTTTACACTGTTTGGCTAGTTTTTCTGAAAACAATTTACGAAATCTAGTTTTTGTAAAAATGTATACATTTTTTTTATATTTTTCTTGTTATTTACCTTTTAAAAATTTTTAAGTTGTTTTTATAAAATTGTATTTTATAAAATTTTGAAATTAAATGTTTTATTTCTATAAGTATACCAAATAAATCCAATATTATAACAAATTAAGAAAATGATCCAAACAGTGAAACAATAACATATAAAGAAAGATGCAATCCAAACTAAAAATTCAACTTTAAAATGTTAGTGTATGAACAAAACACAGAATTAAACAATGATTCTTCAAAACTTAAAATATAAGTTTGAGATGTTCCATTTTGCTTCACAATAACCTGAAATAGAATATGAATGCATTTTTAGCCATTCTCCATTTGAACATTTAACATGGATGTATAATATTTATTCTATTATCATTTAACATATTTGACCATTAATAACTTTTAAAAAAATCATTTAGATACCTGATATATAACACGTTTCTAATTTCTTTTAATTTTATTTTTTTCAAAAAATTAAAATTATTAATTTTTTAAAATACCTAAAATCCTGAAATTACAACATCCCTAAATTTCTAAATCATATATGCTTTCATAAAATCAACCACAACCTAGTATCTCCTCTCTTCTATCATCATACTCTCACCTGCCGGCCACCAATTGCTGTCGAACATTATCGCCTAAAATAGAACGATCATAGCATTTAATCACAAAACTCATTGCATGAGATCAATTTTTTTATTCCAGCTATCACCTATTTGTCACTGTTAATTGAGTTCCAGCTTGTGTATACATTTCCTGGAAAGGAAATTATCTTATCAGAATTTTCCCATCAAATATGAGAACCTTTAATGTAGGACCCATGAAATCTCTAAGAGCAATTTGCAAGAATAACAACAGAAGTGGACCTAATGCTCTCAGTTACTGCAACACTTAATAAACCATCCAAAACAGAAATAGTAAAGGAAAAAACTCACCGAATGAATAATTACCGAATAGTTCTTCCACAAGAGATTAAAACTATTAATGGCTTACATTTTTCAAAAGAAGCACTCCACTTTGCATAATAACTTGCATTAAAACCAATCCAAGGAGCAGACAACACCGGTACAAACACTCTATATTGAGTATTAAATGTTCATGAACGAGAATATGAATTTTTTTTTTTTTTGCAAAAAAGGGTATAAAACTCGAGTGACAAGCAACCTAAATTGAGATGGTTTCTCTTTGTTTAATTGTTAAATATAATTACCATGGCAATAAACAAAGTTCACGTTCCTGTGTTTATTCATATTAATTTTCTCATTGTAATTTCCATCCTCTAAAGGCATATAAAAAGCTTATCATGAGGAGCTCAGCATGTTTTTCTATAACTGAGAACAGAGGAACTGCCTCTTATGTAAGCCATATTTCAGGCTTTTAGCTGTGTGCTCAAGTATGGTGAAAGTTCTTATAAACCATATGTTAAAATTTTGAATATGACCCCAACATAACAAAAAAAAAGGACAACAAATCATATTTCATTTGAAGACAGTCAAATTCTTCCTACACATAAGGTCAACAAGTTGCTAAGCTCTTCTAAAAGAACACTGGAAGAAATGTTTCACAGACCTCAATGCACAATATAACAGATTCACGAACACCCGAATTTGGGTCATTCAACAGCTGCAAAATCTGATAAAGGAATTTATATGTCAGCTAATCTCTGTGGCATTTCATGACGAGAAATAAAAATCCATTTTGGAAATGTTAAAGAGCATACAGGAGGAAGAATTGCCCGTTGAAGTGGAAGTTCAGTAGATGCAAAAAGACTGATTGATGATGTAACCGTCCGGGCAAATTCCTCTCGAACTCTCCAACTTCTATATATATCCAAGCATAAGAGCCAGCTCTTTCGACAATAATTGTTGGAGAAGAAACCTGAAACAATATATACACACGCACATTTTAGAAATCAGACGAATTCTTCACCACTTACCCTAAAACATTAAAGCATCCCAAACTCAGCAAGAAACTGGTAACTTTACCTCCATGAGAGTGAGCAGTAGGCGTCTGGCGGCGTCTCTAACAGGCTGTTTGGCGTCACCTAACCGTTCAACAACTGCGGGAACAAGGGCGTTGAAGTAGAGAAAAAGGAGGCATTCTGTTTTATTTTTCTACTGAAATAAGGACATGAATGAGAGATACAAATGGGTGTTTGTTCTATTAGTACAATTGAGGGGGGAAATAGAGAAAAAAAATGAATCAAGAGTGAAATCTTACTCATTGTGTCGCCGATTAAAGAAAATTTTGATGGTACCGTCGGTGAGGATAAGAGAAGGTAAGACGGTACCACCGGCGAGGAGAAAAGAAGGAAGCGAGAAGAAAAGAAGGCAAGATGGTACCGCCGGTGAGGAGAAGAGAAGACAAGATAGTGCCGCCGACGAGGAGAAGAGAAGGCAAGAAAATATTCTTGTAAACGTAAGAAAGAAGAGAGTTTGTGTGGTAAGTCATTTTACCACAAAACACACCCTTTTTCCCTTTGACTGTAAATTATTTTACATTGACTAGTTTATTTTGCATTGCCAAACCCAAGAAAATGTTTTCTGTAAAACATTTTACACCAAACAAACGACCCTTAGCCATTATTCAACAATAAAAACCTTAAGGAAGAATTACTAAGGAATCGATCTTTTAAGGGGGGGGGGATCATCCGTTCATGAAGAGTATTGATCCATTTTTTAAAAAACTAAAAAGTCATGTGAATATGTATGAACATACAATCGATCTTATGGTCTATAAATATGTTTAGAACGTACTTCTTACACTTAGAATATGTTAAAAATATATATGATACACATTTATAACATAAATAAACACACCTTCGAAATCAAAAGTCATAATTACATAAGAAAATTAACTTTGCACAACTGAAGTAGTCATTTAATCATTATAGGTCATTTCATATTTTTATACGCTTAACACATCATGTATCAACTTTAAAACTTGTCCAGGTGATCATTACACTTAATTATGATCAGTTCATAATTTGACTAAACTTACATATTTAATCATTGTAAACAACTTGGGCAAAAGTTCCAATATAATGCTACAGGGAATGTTTAATTCTTAAACTAAAGTGCTCATTCGATTAATTTTTTAAATGGGGTGTTTTCTACAGTAAATTTGGGATTTCTCGACGTCTTCAGAGTTAACCAGATTTTTGGATTGTTTATTGGGATCTCTAGGCGTCTTTAGTAGAATATATGAAAAAATTTGGCTTTTTTACACAAATATCACTTTAACATAAATTAATTACTTGTTAAACACTGTTTAAGAATATTTTACGAATCTAACAAATTTTTAAATACTTTCTATAAATTTAATCATATTTTGTTAGTATTTTTTTAATTATTTTATTATTTAATTATTTTATTTAATTATTGAGAAAATAACCTCAGTGACCAAAAATCCCATATAATATACGATTTTAACCAACTTTTTCCGGATTTGCCAAAATGACCAACAAAATCGCAATGCGATCGCTAATTCGCAACGCAATCTCCATTATCGCAAATCAGTTTCCAGATTCGCAACGCGATTATGGCTATCGCAATACGATTTTCCAATTTCGCAATACGATTTTCCAATTTCGCGTTGCGATTTTCCCAATTCGCAATGCGAATAAGTAAATCGCAATACGAATTTGGAAAATCGTAATACGATATTAACTATCGCAACGCGATAATACAAAATCGCAACGCGATACTGACTTTCGCAACGCGATACTGACTTTCGCAACGCGATTCTGACTTTCGCAACGCGATTCTGACTATCGCAACGAGATAATACAGAATCGCAATGCGATTTTCAAAGTTCACAACAGGTTTTAGTTTCGCAACATCCTTTTGAGTGGGACATACCAGATGACTTACAAACAGTTTTGCCACCAGCCATGGACAGAAGGCTACCTGGCCGACCAAAAAGTCACGATCGTATACCGTCTAAGGGTGAAGAGAAGAAGAGATCGACATGTAGTCGGTGCAAGGAAAGTGGTTATACAAGGTCACAATCATCTTTTCCTCTACCAAAATATGGATCCTCATCAAAATCCAAAGCTCATATGGTGTCAAGCAAAAGACAATCAAAATCGCAATCATCTTCAAAATCCCAATCACAACCGGCTTCACCTTTTGGGACTGTTAACTTAGGTGATTTTTAAATGCAAACGTTGTATTATGTGTATTTTATGTGTGCACTTTTAACATTTTCAGTTAGGCATGTATTAGTAACTTGAGTTTGAACATTGCTATGATCTGTTCAGTTGTTATCACTTATTAGACATTCATTTGACTATCGCAACGGGGAAATCGCAACGCGAAAATGACTATCGCAACGCGAAAATGGCTATCGCAACGCGAAAATGGCTATCGCAACGAGAAAATCGCAATGCGAAATGAAAATCTGTTGAGTTAATCGATCGACGGAATCGGCCAAGAGGGGGTGAATTGGCAATTAAAAATTTCGTGGAAGCTTTTGCAGAAAAATTGAAAGTAATTGCACAGCGATTTACAATGGTTCGAATTTCTCAAACAAAGTCTACGTCCACTACCTTAGCTATCCACACTAAGGATTTTCCAACAAATTCACTAATTTGTTCTTTCTTTTGAGGCCAAAGAGATAACCTTACAAAATCCCTCAAGAGTATACCCCAACTCTTGAGAACACTCTTTTTCCCAAAGAGAAGATTACAAATTTGCAAACTTACAAGAAAACCTCACAAGGTAAGATGTTTGCACAATTCTAGAACAAGAAAAGAACACTCAAAGATAATTACAAATGAGCACAAATGGTGTTCTTGAAAGCAAAATGAATATTGAAAGGAAAATTGGCTTGATTTGCACAAACTTGGTGTTTGATGCTTTCTCTCTTGTTTCTCTATGATTTCTTGTTGATCAAGGGCTTCAGAACTTGTTTAAATACACCTTGAATCTCTTCTGAACGTTGGGGATGATTAGTGAAGATCATATAGCCGTTTTAGTGTGAAAACAATTAATAAAACAGTTTGGAGCGTGGGGGGAATCGATACCCCCTTTGGGGAATCGGTTCCCTAAGTGTAAAATTCAAATATTTCGACCGTTGAACAGGGGGGAATCGGTACCCCCTATAGGGGAATCGGTTCCCTCCGAGCATTCTGGAAATCTCGGAGCCAAACCATTCAGGGGGGAATCGGTACCCCCTTGGGGGGGAATCGGTTCCCTCTGAGCAATCTGGAATTTTTGGCTTTGAAATGGTTCGAAATACTTTGAAAGATTATTTTGAAATTGTTTTAAGATTAAAACTTAATTTTACACTTAAGTAAGGATTAAAAATGATTTTTGAAATATTTTGAGTAATGTTTTGATATTCGAATAATTATATCGAATATACTTAGAAAATCATTTTGGAAAATCTTAAAATTCATTTAACTTAATTTGTTATATCGAAATATCAAAATGTTTTCAACAATCTCCCCCTTTTTGATATAACAAAACATTTTAGTAATTTTAAGATTTTGAAATCAAGTTTTGAAATTACTCCCCCTTACTTTAACACTTCTCCCATTTAGCATTTTAAAAACACACTTAAAACACACTTCTCCCCCTTTTTGTTAAATCAAAAAGATTCAAATAAACGTGAAAAAATATTAAGCCAATTGATTAGGTATATGTATGCATAAGCTGCTAAGATCACTATCAAGAGAACCGTTAGCCATTAGTTCCATAATCAATATTCATAAACAATGTGATATGGTAAAATTGGTCATATTTGCTAATAATGATGTAAATGATGCAATAATGAATAAATCACACCAAACATATAAGTTCACACCATCCATAAATTCAAACATTCCAAAATATTCAAAATGTTAAAACAATAAGTTTGGAAAACAAAGTAAAACATTTAATCATATATCCGGATTAGGAGGAGGAAAATGAGCTCGCATAGCGGCCATTTCGTTAGTGAGGTCATTAATACGTGCGTTGGTTGCTTCATTATTTGCACGCATTTCCTGAAGAATTTCTAATTGTTGAGCTCCCATTGTGGATAAATGGGACTCTATAGAATTAAAGCGCGAATCCATGGTCGCATATCGGTAATCAAATGTCTCCATAAAAGATTGAAAATATGGAGGCATTTGAGTCGATTGTTGTGCTTGCTCTTCGGGCTGCTCCTCGGCCTGCTCATGTTCAGCTTCAGCTTCATCGATGTCTCGCATTAGTTGCTCAAGCTCGAGATCTTCTTCAGCTTCGGGTGGAGCTTGTGAAGAACTAGCTCCCGGAGTAGTTGCAGAAGATCGAACTCATTCCCCCGGTTTCCTTATCCTTAATCCATCCCGCTCTCGTTAAGGAAAGAAGGTTAATTTGTTTCTTAAGAGGAAAAACGGCATCTAGACCGACTCTAAGCCCAGCTTTGGAAAACAGATTACTCAAAATACAACCGTAAACAAGAGATGAACAAAGTTTTTTATTAGGAACAAGATTTACGGTTTCAACAATTTTAGCAAAAATAATCTGAGGTAGGTTGATTTTAATATTGTTTTCGAAACAATGTAACCACCAAAGATCTAAGGCTCTAAGAGTAGAATAACGACCTCCAGATGGTCGAAACCACCAAGAAATCATTAGATGAAGAAAACGTTCATGAAGGTCTAGGACACTTGCACTATCCCTTCTTTTATAACGAGATCCTAAAACCTGTTTTTCATTTGAAATCCCTTCATTATCTAATCCGAATGTATTGGCTATGTAAGTCGAGTCAATATATATAAGAATTGTCCTAGAAGGTAGGAACAAATTCCTATGGTTTCGGTTTCAGTTTGGTCTTTAACACAAACGGCATTAGAATAGAAAATACGAACAAGTTGATGGTAAACGATGGGTTCAAGGTCAAAGAGTTTATCAAATTTCCACTCTTGTAAAAGAGGAAGATATTTAAAATTGATAGCTAACATAGTTTGACGAGAAGGAATACGTTCTTCCCGGATTTTGTAAGAGTCGAAATATTGATAATACCAAAAACGATGATTTCTAGGACCAGGATGATTGAAACACGAATTTTGGATAGTCAAATTAGGATCAATAGGATTAGGATTAGAAATTGGAATAGGTGGAGGATTTGGAGGTGGATTTGGTTGTCGGTGTGAACGACTAGATGAAGACCTAGCACGTTTAGGATTAGACATGGTGAAGGAAATCGGAATAGATTGGATAACCTGTAATTTTAAAAACAAATGTATGCAATTCAATTAATCCCAAAACTCAATTGAGTCCTCAATATTTCAAGGTTCTCTAAATCAATCCTAATGGGCAAAGTTTTTGAAAAAAAAATATGGTTTTGAGAAACAATATATGTATAGTTTTCATAACAATAACATAATTTAATCAAA